CCTCGAGCCTCTAAAACTTGTTTTCCCCTTCAAGAATTTCCCGCGCGCGAACGCGCTCTCCCCTTCCCTTCGCCGCCAAACTCACGAGAAGAAAGGGTCCTCCTCAAAGCTGCTGCTTAGCATCCGGAACATGGTGGTTCTCCTCAAGGTGGTCGCGGTGGCGGGCGGGTTGGTAAACGATGTCACTCGCCGCGGCCGCGCCCGGACCTACCACCTCTCCAGCAACGCTTCTCCTAAGGCAACTAAAGCCGCGCCGGTGGGGAGAGGCGGAGGGTGACGCGAAGGTGCTTTTCTATTGGTCAACGGTCCCCTACGTCACCAAGAGGGGCGTGAACAATGCCCCGCTGCCATGACGACGGAAACCAACACAGAAGGAGTGAAGTTTGGCATCTGGAGGCTTCGCAACCATCGCGTAGCCTCTTGAGGGCTGGGGAAGATGCTTCTCCGGGTTTCACGAGCCGAACCATTCGATCGCCTTCTGTATGACGCTGAGCAAATCGTCCCAGGCTGTAAACTTCATGTCTCTTTTCACGAAAATGGAACTGGGTTAAAACGTGGGCTAAAACAGGGCATATGCGGATCCCATCCAGGGGCCAAATTCCGTGAAACACAAGGAGTCCCGTATCTGAAACACTGTGGCTGGTCAAAACCAAAACCCAAATCAATCCCCTGCAGTAGATCCCAACTCCCAGCGATCCTACAGGGCAGAGGAAAATTGCCCCTTGTTTCCAAAGCTGTGTTTTCCCAGAAGCTGAATGCCATATCTTTCTCCCAAAGAGCAGCCCGTGGTTCACTGGCCTTTCAGTTAGTCGCTGAATAATTGAAACCACTGTGTCACATCAAATAGCCGTAACCCCTTAAAATTAAGTTACGGTGTATTGTTGTTTTCCTACAGGGCTCAGGAAGGTTGGCTGTTTCAGACCACACAGAAGTGCCTCAGGAGAATGATGAGGAGAACGTCTGAAAAATCAACCCCTGGAAAATCTATGCAATACAGTTCTCCTCTGACACACCGGGGGTCCAGGAAGCAGAACTGACTCAAGGCTACTGGCCCTTAGTTATAGCAAGTGGAACTGGTTTTAAGTCTAAGGCAATTATACCCATTTCAAGTTTTAGTGAAAATGAATGAATTTAAAGAAATAATACAAGGGGACTCTGGGTGTAAAATAAATATGACAATGCCACACAAATGACTGAGTTTTTGAAAACACTGTCGTGGGGCCTTCCAGGGATAGAGAACAGGTGGAGGAAGAAACCAAGAAGAAGAGATAAAGAAAAGAGAGTAAGAAAGCTCTAAGAAAGAAAAGGGCCCTGGCAGGTCCATCTTTAATTCTGTGGGTTCTCACACTTGTTATAGCAACTGGCCTGTGGAAATGGAGGGGCATCCGATGCTCAGCAAGGCCTCCTGTCACCCGGCCTGAAGGGTGGCACTCTGCCAGTGTGAAGAAGAGTGCAGGGCCTCATTTGGAAGTAGCAGGAGTACTGTCGGGTTATTTTGGGAGCCTGAAATGTGATCCTTTGGACCTTTTACCACCCTGATGTTAAGCCAAGTTCTCAGGCAGCCTACTTTCCCTGAGACTAGGGCATGAAGTAGAGTAGACTTCACAGCCCATATTAGGATGGCCCAGCTCCTCCTCCCAGGGATATTTCCTTCTCCTTAGGCCTCAACATGAAGCTCAAAGGACACACACATATCTGCACAGTCCTCAGTGCTTTCAAATCAAAATTATTGTTTAAGGTCAGAAACAATTTGCTCTCTTACAGAGTCTAAGAAGATTTTAAAAACAGTTTTTTTCTTTAAATCATTGTACTGGGGGCTTATGCAACTCTTATCACAATCCATACATCCATCCATTGTGACAAACACAATTGTATATTTGTTGCCCTCATCATAAGAATAAGGTTTTAGAAGACCACTTGGCCGGCCCCACTGTAAGACAGGACATCCCTGTCTTACTGACCCATAGCCTTACAGAGGACAACACTGGAGACACAGTGTGGGAATTACACCCAATCTGATCTCATGGGTGTGGAACAGAACAGCAAGGGGGAACAGAGCAACGAAGTCCCCAGGGAATACCAAAAATAGACTTTGGGGCCAGGGCTTGGTGACCCAATAGACTCCACTGGAAAATACTACAAGCTTTTCTTTCTTATTGTTGTGTTTTGTTTTGTTTTTGTCATTGGCTTGTTGATGTTTTTTGTTGTTGTTGCTTGGTTTTGCTGTCTTGTTTGTGTACATGTTATCATCTCTGCAGGTCTGTCTAAATAAGATAGGCTGGGTGAACAATCTGGAGGAGAAAATAACAGGACCGACAGTTCCAGGGGGACATGGGAGAGGGGGAGGTGGGGAGAAAGGTAGTGGTGTTAACAAACCCAGGGACAAGGGAACCACAAGTGATCCAAATTGGTGGTGAGGGTGTAGTGCATGATCAAGGGTAATGTAACCAAGAGGAATTATTGAAACCCAAATGAAGGCTGAACATGATAGTGGGACAAGAGGAAAGTCAAAGGAAATAGAGGAAAGAGCTAGGAGGCA